ACTACAGCCATGGTAGCTCTTGCCTTTTCTTGTTCTTGTGTGCTGTGGAATTTAAATCCAATGGTAATTTTCATGGCAAATGGATTTTTTAATGTAGTTTGCACACACATGGGGAATGTAAATTCTTTGTTGCCAATCAGTAACATTTTAAGGGTTAAGTAAGTTGGAATCCATCCAGGTCTCTTCCTAAAGAGCCAGTATCACATGCCTACCTGACCTCTGCTAATGATATACATTAGTTGCATAGAAAGCTTGATTAAATCTTCAGAAAAATGAATGACATGCCCATGCATATATATTGCTGTAATTATGCTTGCTTATAGGTAATAACCTATAGGTAATAATAACCTAGTTTGAAGACACCTCATTTAATTTTAGGGAAGTCATTCATATCATGCAGTTTCTATTTCATATAATTCAATAGGAAGTTGGTATTTAAAATTGGAATAAATTCTGGCTGGAAGGCCTAACAAGAAAACATGCTGAAGAAACATGCACTGCTTATTCAAACCCAGATGTTACGTAGCTCTGATTTATCTACAGTATTCCTAGTTACACTCCCTAAATCTGATAAGCAAAACATCCCAACACTTCTCCTTTTATAAAAAGGTGATTATTTTTGATATTTTCCTACTTAGCCTGATATTTTTGCACACTTTTTACATGCAGTGTGGCTTCTATTGAATATTTGTCTCTAGGTGCCCTAAGAATAAATAAAATTAATTATTGTTAACAACTCATTTTCATTCTGGTTGTGACTGGGGGGAACATAACAGTCTTGCAGGAAAAAATACTTAGGAAGCAATTTTTTTTCACCACAGTTATTTAAAACTACAACTTGTTTGGTGTATTGTAGCCTGCTGAGATGCAGGGTCTACGGAACAAGAGGATGACGCTGGGAAATGTGGAAAAGAATCCTCCAGAACTGCATGCTCTGTTTATGAGTGGTGTGCCACAGCTGCTGGGCACTCAAGGCTTTGGGGTGACTGCTGTATGGATTCAGGTGGGTAGCCTGGAGACATGGTGGTGCCAGTGAGGGGTAAGCACTACCTCAGGTTTTTGTGGAGAACTTGCACCTGGCAAACAAAGGACCCATTTGGATCAACTGCAACAGCAGAGAGATCCAGGAAGACTGATTTAAACTCTGAAACACCAAAATGTCATGTTTCTTTCAGTGGGTAATGAAAAATGCTAAAAAATTATAAATGCTTCTTCATGCAATTTCAATTGAAAACAAACTCAAATCTCCTAAACTATCACAGAGAAGACTCCCTATATGTCAGCCATTTCTATTTGAGGGACTGGAATGCAGTCTCTTCGTGGCATTTAAACTCCACTTTGGATACAAAATCTGGTTCATTTCAATAGTACTCGGGTTGCAAAGTTGGTTTTGAACTTGATGCGTTAAGTCCTATGGCTCCCGTAAAAGTGACAATTGGTTCAAATCTCAGGAGCACAGAAAACTTGTTCTTTCATACTTGAAGCATCTTATCACTGCAATTTTAGCACTTAGTGAACATTAACTGAGCAGTTTATAGTGAAAACCTGTCTTTTTTAATGCTGAGGAAAAAATGGACAATGACATTTTTCAAATCTGCTTGTTCATTTAGGAATCTTGGTCTCAGCACATAAAGTGTACGTGTACAATTTAGGGTGCTGAAAGGCTTTAGAAAAGGAAAATTTCAGGTGAGATTGTCTACTATCTTCATACACATGTAACTACCCGAGAAAATGTAGAAAATCAGAAATACTGAGGTAGTAGAATAGCTAAAGGCAGACTGATGAAGACCTGTAGTTTATATGAAAGGCTGAAAAATTAGACCATCACACAGTGACTGCAGTTTTGGTCACCCTTCTAGAATATCATAGCTTTTTTCCTGCCCCTGTTAATGTTTCAGCCAGGTTCACAGTGACAATAAGAGGCAAGGGCCATTATTATCTAAAAAGAAAATTCTTTCTGCCCCTCTTGGTACTGTCCCTCTTGCTCATCAGGGATGGCAGAGCTGAAATGGACATTGTTTAAACTGGTGCCTCATGCTGAGGGACGGCATGGACCCTTTTCAGCTGGTGCCCAAGAAGGCCCAGAGCATGCCTCTGGCCAGTTCTAAATTCACAATTCATATAAAATTGTTAACTAGTGGAGTAAGCAAGTCCGTTGGCCCTGTGGGTGGGGACCTTGGTCCATCTGAGGCATTTGAGAGGGCAAAGGGTTTACATGTGATTAAACTCTAGAGATGTTTCCTCAACCTTCTATTAATTCATGGCTTAATCACTGTTTCTTATCCCAGGGATCATTCTGCACAGTGTTTCTATAAGAGTTCTCATGCCTAACTAAAATTACCCTAAACTTTTAATGTTTACTCATTACTTTTGCTGTCCTCCATTTACCTTGATTCCTTGACTTCAAGGGAGTGAATGCATGAACATTCAGACAGAAAATGTATCTGTCTTGAACTGATGTATTTTCAAAACTATTTGTTGACTGCCTTCTGCTGTCTTTTGGACCAGTGGTGGATCACGAGCCTCAAAGACAAAGCAGTCACAAAAAAAAAAAAATCAAGGGCAGCATGGCTGATAGCAGCTGTGACTGCTGTGCTCAAGAAAAGGACACCACCTGGTCTGCCAGCCAGGCTTCTGAGATGAGACAAGTTAGCCTTGCACTCTGGTGGGACAGGGCATTTCCATACTGCCCAGGGGTGCCTTGCTCTGATCTGGCAAAAGGTCCACAGCCCAGTAACTTCAGGACCCTCAAATACCAGCTCCAGGGCGGATTTCTGAAGACAAATTTTCTTTATCATCTAAATTAAGATAGTAACAGCTCATCGGTAAGCACACTTGTCTTGGAACCCCACTGACTCCTTCTTTCCAAATAAAGAAAGACCTTTCTTAAAGCAAGTGAACTTGCATAGCTATATGGTTCACAAATACACTTTTGTTTCCTACTAGCACTCATACTGCTTAGCATCCCAATTTGCTCTGTACTTTGCAAAAGCTGCATCTACAGAACTAAGTTAATCATCTACACACTTGGTGCAAAATATAAGCTTGGCTTTAAGCCCCAGATGCAACATTTGGCTTTAGAGAACTCTCATTCTAAGTCCTCTTTTAAACAGTATGCTCTGGTCTGCTTTGGATATGATAATAAAAAGTCATATAAATGCTTCTTCATTGATTTTTTTAGTTAAGTATAAACATCAGTGGACCCTTTCCAAATGTGTCATTTCAAGACCTTAAGCAGTATAAGAAATCAGAGGTTGCAGTGCTGGTTCAGGGCAGGCAGAAGTTCCAGCATCTCATAGCCACTGACTGGGGTTTCAGAGTGGCCTAAGGTAGGTAGTGGTCTGCCTTCCTGCCTCTGATTTCAAAAGAGGAAGCACTTTACCAACTTAAGTACTAATAACTGAATGTAACTCTTGCAGCAAGGCGAGGGCATTGTGCCTTTTCCATGGAGGCAACTTCAGAAAAATCTCAACCTGGTGTCATTAAAAATCCCAACCAGGGTTAGGAAACTGAAAGACAAAGGAAGGAAAACCCACCTAAACATTTTTTTTTCTCCTAGGTTAAAAAAAAAAAATTATAATCAACACACAATTCTTCTATAGTTTTCAGAGAAAATATAGCAGCAAACAATGGATCTTATATTTTTCACACTACCTCCTTTTAAATTACTATTCTAAGATCAGAAAATCTTAACTGCACTTTTCATCACAATCCACAGAAAAGGCCACTTAAATCTAACATTTGGTAAACAAATACTGTAACAGCATAAACATTTGTAAAGCCATCATTACCAGAGGCATTTAAGTATAACTCACACTAATAAAGCTTCTAAAACACCCAAGTGCTGGAAGGTCCAGTCCCCAGTCAGCACTCTTGGGATTCATGTGGGTAGCTTCCATGAAGGAAAGTATGAATTATGTATGGATGTTTTTTATCCATCATTGTAAGAGAAAACCTCTGTGCATCTCTTCAGGGTCCAAAATGTCCAGCATATACTCACAGCTTTTTGTCCTATATGCCAACTGAAATTAAATTAAACTGGTCTATAGTCTTTCTGTGCTGGCATCAAAAAAACAGTTTCTATAATACTGTTTTTAGATCACAGTACATTCTGATGCCAGGAACAATTGAAAGTAAGTAGTAAGCATGCATATAAATTTACGATCTAAGTGATTTTCTTGTGTGTTACCTTTGACTTTGCCATAGCCAATGAGAGAAAATAAATACATAGTGTATCTTCTGCTACATCCTTGTCAAGTAATAATAATTAGCCATTTCTCCATGGGAAACCTTATGGGATGTGACTGCAGTGTGGATTTTAGCAGTCTGCGTATGTGCACGTTTGATACTTTCATTTGGCCAATTAATCTTTGATCTGCTGCTCACAATATACCCAAAACATGTTAGACCACATTATTAAAGTTATCTGTCCCCCTTTTCTTTTTCTTTTTCTTTCCACTGAAGCTTGGACAAGGAGGAGGAAGAACATTTTGATCCTGTTTGGTACCTGCCCTTTAGAAACAATGTAAGCACTTCAATTACCTTTAACCTCTAGTTCCAAATGCAAATCTCATATATAAGTCAAGGACTAGCTACCCACCCTTTGGTTGATGGAGTGCTGGCCTGTTATGCCTTATAAGCTTTTTGTGGCAAATAAAATGGGAGACTTTCAAAATGTCATTTGTGTACTTTTTCTGCTTGATGTCAGCAGGGAGTCCATATCACACATTCAGAGTTAATTTCACAGCATTCCTAAATCTTGCATTTCCCCATACCCTCAATGCCAAACAATCTCAGGATTGCTTTCTGTTATAATTCGCAACTGCTTTTTGTTATAATTTTCATGCAACAGGCAGAGACAATCAATATTAGGCCTTAGGCAACAAATCTAGTTACAGATTAAAAAAAAAATAAAATTGGAGGAAAGAGGCAGCGACAAGAAAGCAGCACCAACTGAGCATGCTTCTACTGCGGCACAGACAGAAAAGTAGTGGACGTACTGTAGAAGCTGGCCATTACGTAGTTTTGGCAGCGATCACCAGTAAATTCATTTGGGCACCTGAGAGGAAAAACAAACAAAAAAAATGGTAGAGAAAAAAACAGAGAAAAGAGAAGAGGTGAATATATGCTAAGAAAGAAGCTCCTTCAGTGTGAACTGATATGACTTGGTGAGTTCACTTTCAGAAACTGAATCTCGGTTTAGCGTGTCAAAATAGCTCAGGATGTTGAGAGCAAGTCATTTGCTCTGTGGAAATGTAAAGAAATCCCCCCTGAAAAACCAGCCAAAACCAAACCAATCCAGATCAAAGTGTGTTTCAGGTTCTGAGACAGAAATTCACCATTCCAGAGACCCAGATTTTTAGGATGCTCTTTCCACAAGGCAGCAAGGACACAAGATCTGTACATTCTCATCTCCATGAGTTTGGTCTTTTAGGGTTGCACTTTGCAGCAGTCTCCCAAACAGGAAAACTGCCAGTGTGTGCAAAACAAATGCATCTGTGAATGAATGGAAAGATCAAAAATCACACAAACGAGAAATATTTTGGAGGTCAATAATGCCATGGTGTACAGATTGTACTTCAGAAAATCAGGTCATAAATTAGTGAGTAAAGAGGCCGGTTCCAGCTGAACTGTGAAAACACCAAGTACTATTGATTTTGTTGCTGTAGTTGGGGAAGAAAGCAAAGTTCAGATTATTTTAACATACTTTCTTGGTTTTGGATTTTCATGGGCAGAGTTTCAGTACATCTTGCTCCAGTGAATCCAGGTTGGCACCTAAAGGGCAAAAATGTGATAAGCAATAGTACACCAAAACCACTGCACTAACAGACTTACATCTGCTGGTCTATGGAGTGCGAGTGCATTAAGTGACCTCCTGGTTGGGTGTTAGTGAAAAACGATCAGAAGAGATGCAAGAAAGTGTAACCTTTCCAGAAGATAAAACTTGGTGAAAATTACAGCAAAAATTCATCAGAGAGAAAAAAAAGTATTTTTGCTTATCTGTTTTGAAAAAGAAAGAAGAATCATGGCTAGCAAAAATGTGTACCAGCTCACTGCTTACTCCATCCCATGAAGGGACCAGAGAGTTCTTTTTTAAAATGTGCAATGTGGTGCATAACAACAATTTACACTGCTGCTTTCATTAGTCACATAAAATCTATGAAAATACAATGATTTCCCTATTTCTGTGATGGCACGTTGTGTCTTCTGGTAATTTGCTTTGAGGAGGAACAGTTAGTACAGTGATCACTGAAAATCCACAAAAATCCAAAAAGTGAGAAGACAAAGTCAAATCCAAAGGGAAGTATATTCAACATGGCTCACAAAAAGATTAAAAGTCGGTCCAGGGGATAAGTAAAATGAGAGGGCAGAAATGTTCTCAAGATTTGCAGCCCTGGAGTTGTCCTTCCAGTTCATAAGCTTTTCTGCAGAAAACTTCCATGAAGCTTTCCCCTTGATCATAGAGAAGGAATTTCTCTTCTATGATTTGCCTGTCCTTTCTGCTGCTGCCTATCAGTTCCTCCTTCACCTTCATTCTTCATGCTGGGGCAGGGCTCCCAAATATCAACATAGCAATGCAGGCTTCCTGTGTTTCAGACTTCAGTGTGAATGACTCTCCACCACACTAAGGATCTATAGATTTAATTTTCTTTCCTCTTTCTCCTTCTTCTCTCCATTCTTACTCAGCACGTAACCTGAAATTACCTCATATCTGCTCCTGTGAACACATTTCAGTCATGTTACCCGTCTTTGTGATGCTCTCTGTGAGTTTGCCATGGGACAAGGATCTCCCATCCTTTTCTTCTGCTGATGACATCCTGCTAGCCTCTTTTTCAATTTTTTTTTCATGATTTACTTGTCAGGTACTAAAAAGCCTTCTTATTTGCAAACACCTGTTCATCAGAATAATCCTCCATATCTTCTGTCCATCTGAGTTTCATGTGTGCTGAAAGCTGTCCCAATATTTTAAATTCTGCTTTTCCACAATTGCCTCTAGCCCTAAAAAACAGGGATGCTGCTCTTGCACAAGTGAGACTTTCAGAAAATCTCTTTGGCAAAAGGATCAATGTCAGGGATAAACACTAGCATCTTGTTGAAAAAAATCATGCTGGAATGATATTTGTGTAATAAGGGTATATTTTCAGGATCTGAAGATGAAGCTGATTAGCTGTAATGATGTATTTGCTTATTAAGGAAGAGAGTTTGAGTTCTCCAGAGACAAAGTCACCTCTTTTGGTAAGTACCCAGTGTGCAGAGATCCCAGTCTCCATAGATATATTCAGTTGAGAAAAATGCAACAAGGATAACTCTGTCTTTAGAAGATGCTTTTGCTGGGCATGACAGAAGACATTTTGCACTTTTGAGAAAAGGCAAAATGCTTTTGATAGAAAGCAATTTGATCCATGTTACTGAATAAAGAATAAAAATGTTTTGCACTAGTGATCTTGTTAAATGGCTGTCACTGTAAAGCTGGCATTTGTGCATGCTTGGCTTTCAGTTCACAGGGACCTTTACATCTTTGTCACCAGGCTCACCTACAAATTCCCAAGGAACACGACTGAAAGCCTCATGCTTTCCTCCTGCCACTGGCTGCTGGTTGTTGCCTTGCTTTGTCTGTACTTGTTTTCAGATATTGGTGCAGTTGTGGAGGTGATGAAAACAACTTGGGCACTGGTATAAACAATGCTGAAATCATATCCAGACCAAGCAGGCTCAGCCCTGTTGAGAGGGTGCCGAAAACAGTTCAGGTGTGTTTATTCTTGCTCTGAAACCATTGTCAGCAAATGGTTGACAATTGCAGCACCTGCCCTTGAGAATGAACCCAGGATGGGCCAGCTGAGAGGAAGCTGAGATGAGCCTGTCCACTTATGATGATGTGTCAATGCTAAAGGCATTTCATTGCTCAGATGTGCACTGCAGCACTGTTTCCAGTACAGTTTGGAAGGTTGTTTCCTGTATACAATACTTTTACAATCTGCTTGCAATGAACACCTTATCCTAATCAAAGTTTTCAGACATTACTTCTTGTTGTGACTTTTTTTCCTAGATCGTTATCCATGTACCATTTTCCTTTAGAACAGTAGCAAAAGTTGAAGTCAAAAAGCTTGGAGCAAAATGTATACGTTTGCGCTGTGCAATCCTTGTAATTTCCTTTCTGCCTTATAAAAGTCTACTTGGATCATTTATTTCTTATATTAACTGGGTAAAACCAAAATACTAAACCACATATAGTAGAATAACTGCTTTCTTCCCTCTACACACAGTAGTTGGAAAGGGCAGCATTTGCATGTGTTCAGTAGACACTTCTCAGAACACTGAACACATATCATCACACTGTTTTTCATCAGGAGAGGAATGGTTCAGGAACTCATATTTCCATTTCATTCACTGCCTACAAACAAACACACGGTGGGAGAGAATGTTTTTGGGTTTTTTTTCCCATGGGAGGTACAGTACGTAGTAATCCATTTAATTGCCTAAGTCAGAGCTAGTATTTCTATCCTTTCTCTTGAATGAATACTTCTGGAACTTCTGCTTGCAAACTTGCTGGTTGGAAGAAACTTCTCTCCATTTCTATTCTACAAAGGCCTTTACATGAAGACAGATATAGAAAATGGCTACATCATAAAAAAGTACAGAATTCACTCTTTTGCTGTTAAGAAAAGCAGCAGCACACTTTTGTTAAGACAATAGCATCATTTTCATCGAACAAAATTCCATTGTAATAACAAAACCATTAGAAAAGATGATGTCTGCAAGTCAGGAATCAATTAATCATAATATCAAGACCTTCACGGTATGACACTTCAAAAGAACACTCTAAAAGTATAATAGATCTTATATTCACAGATTTTTTTCGAGTGAGAAGGAAATGCTAGGAATTTTGGTCCTAATTTTGAATTTATTGAAATATTTTTCTTCAGTGAACTTGGGGACACTTTTCCAACTGAACATAAATGACTTAGCAATCTCAGTCTCATAGGAAGCCATTAACATCCAAGCTTCTAAAGTCTATGATGTTTTCAAAAAGTGACTCATGTTCTTATGAAGCTTCCGAAAATTTTATACACTAGTTTATTTAAGTAGTCAAAGCTTCCTATTTCATCTGCCCTATTTTGAGATTTTTTTACTTAGTCTTGGGTCTTAATTAAAATACATGTGGGGAAAATACATGCTACCACAGATGTAGCTGTACAATGCTTTACTAAGTCTCCACACATTTCTTCGGCTTTTCACATGGTTACCACTTGAAAGCAGGGAATTTTCTTGAAGTTCACACCAGTATCCAGAAGAGCAAGATCTGATCCTGCCTGGATCATCACTATGCATTTTATAAAATATTCTTTTTTTAATATATAGTCAGATTTTAACTGAAGATAAATTTAGCTTTTTTTTTTTTTTAAATAGAGTAGGGGACTTACAAAACCAGAGATTACTTGGAAAATTCCATGGTTGTTTTGAATCTGAGTCATGTTTTTTTGGTTAGGGATAAAACCGATTTAGAATGATATGGCTCATGCTTTAGAAATTTTGTTTTTGCTCTCAACAGATGGACCATATGGAAAAATGTGAACTTGCTACTGAGGCAGAAATATGAAGAGCAAGTACCATATTTCAAGCATTCTGTTTCCACAAGCATGTTCTGGGAGTAGATTTGTTTTCTTAGAACAATGAAGACAATGTGTAGTGGTTAGATACCTATTTTAGGTAACTGGAATGTAGAATAAAAAGTGGGCATCTTTAAAGAAGTAAGAAGAGAACTGTGTTTTTTCCCTTCAGTTTCCCAGTACTTTAGTACCCACTTTCCAGTACTCGCTTTTATTTCTTATGTAGCTGTATTGCATTGTTTTACTACACAACATAAAATTTTTGTTCTGGCAAGTGTTAGAGGGCATAGCAAATGGCCCTGCAAAATAGTGGTGGCTCTGACTGTTCTCAGGGTAAGAATCCTTCTCTACTGCCATATTGTAAAGGAGATTCACCCAGTCTAAGTTTACAGCTCTGATGCTTTTTCCAAATAGGTCTTAGACCACCCAGGCAGAGGCACATCTGCCAAATCTGGGAATTGCCTTTTCCTTGAAATACAGCCCCAGAATTAAAGGTTTTTTCTTGTCTACAATAGGGGAAAACAGTCCCCACTTTATTCAAATGTCTCCAAGACATTTTATTAAAAAACTAGCCAGTCTATAACATCATTACAGAACATACACAGACATTTGAATTAAAATAAAGAAGTCCCCACACCAGTGAGGATGGGATACTTCTGAAACTACCCAGACAATATTAATGGTTAGCAAGTCTGCTCAATGCTCAGCTCTGCCATTCACTGCAGTTTTCTGAACATTGTTTGGATAGGAAGTTGAAACACACAGGCTTGTACGTGCTCTGGAGAGTCGTAGTAAACTGCTCATCTTGAATGCTGGCTTACAACAACCATGTAAATTTAACACAAATCTTTCTCTTTCTCAAAAAAGAATCCCACCACAGCACATATAACTTTTCCATATTTGCTTCAGCTAAAAATGATCCTAAAATTCAATGGAACATTCATTGCTTTCAGCAGCACAGCAATCCATGAAAATCCAAAGCAAAATAAAGCCCATGATGTGCAGGTAGCATCTTTTACAAGGAAAACTTACAGGTAAACCGGAACATTATGAGGTTTGGTGGGGATTTGATGGCTTTTGTTTGTCTGTTTTCCTTTAAAAAAACCCCAAAACCCAAAAACTCGAAAAAAAACAACATAGACAAGCAGCCAATTTCTTCCTGGCCTGATGAAAGCATCACAGACCACCCAACTCACCTATCAAAGTTATCTTTACAATTAGTGTTGTCTAATTTTTAGTCCTAGGAGACTGAAAAATTACGCAGTTACAGCAGATGACAATCTTGACCAACCTCTTTGTCTGAAAAACAGTAATATCCTCACAAAAGGCCCTCTTAGGTACCAAGGATGTTTCCCAAGGTTTAAATGCTGAGTTTCCTCTCAAGCTAGTGTGAAGAAGTCCCTATGACTAGTTCACCTTCAGGGGTAAATGCTATGTGACATGCTCCCAGACAGGAGGCAAATTCCAGTGCTGCAGCTCTTCATGGATGTTCCCCAATGCAAGGGACTATTGCAGCAGACCAATACAGCACAATCAGGACCTGAAAAAGGTGCACAAGCACCCCACTGAACTAAACTCATATGACTTCATGAATCACAACTGGCACACAAAATAGTAACCTCCACCATGACCATAACTTTCACTGTTTTTTATGCAATTAAACACAACAACAGTTGTGAATCTGGTATCACCAGAAACTGTTCAGTTACTACATCAGACAATTAAAATAACAGTTTCTTGTATAGAAAGTGTAATATTCGATACAGTTTTCCACACCCTTTTTTATTTGCTCTTCTAAATGTAGAATATTTAATTTACAATATCTGTTTCATTATTTCTAATATAAGGCTCAAGTTGTGTTTCTTTGTGCCATATAAACAGCAACAGAAGATCCTGTGCCACTATCATGTAGAAGTATTTCCCATTTAGCCTCTGCTGTGTTTCATATGCCTCTGCAGAACACAGAGAGGTAATCATTAACATTCTTTCCACATCCACATAGTTAAAAAATGAAGAAATGTAAGTTCAGAAGAAGACATTTTTCAGGTGTTCCTTTAAAGAAAAAAACCATTTGTGAAACCTGATGGCTCCAACAAAAGAAGAAAATAGGATTTCTTACCTGCACAGGTATCTTGGGGGGTTTGGGAGGTCTTTAACCATGTAACACTCTCCCCCATTTACACAGAAGGCTTTCTGCTTTATGTCACATTTTGTGAGATGACTTGTCCCAGTTGTAGATGTGGAAGTGGCTGGAAAAGATAAGAATGAAAAAACAGATCAGAGGCTGTTTTTCTTTCTGACTGGTGAGTATACTTGTATGTGAGGGAAGAAGTAAGGCTAGGGAGGATCTGGCAAGTCCTTTGAGCTCTCTATCTGCTGCTACCACAAGCACAAGCTGCTACCACTAATCACTTGACCCTGTATTTTGTTGATTGCTAGAGTGAGTAGAGTTTAAATACATACCTCAGAGATACACGATCCCACACTCAGCCTGGAAGGAAGTGAGGGTTTTCCTAGCCCTGTCCATCAAGCGGCCTAAATTTTTTGCAACACTCATATGTGTTTCATTAAAAATGTGTAATTTATGTGCAGTAACTTTTATTGCATTATGTGCATCCAAGTAATTTTGGGGTGTGATAGTCACTACAGATTGCTGATATAGTGTCCTATAAAATAAGGTCCTGGATGATATTTTGCCCTGGTATTGCCTTGAAGCAGGTATTTTTCAGTGAAGCTTAACCTGAGGCCCTGTGCTTACTCAAGATCTCAGTCCAGTCACTTCATTCTCCCTGAGGAGAGAGTGAATGGCTGAATGCTGAGTGTCTTTTTCCTTGCTCATAAACAAGAACTGTGGCTACCCTGGTTTGACCCTGTAGGGGGAAGAGAATGGGGAGGTTGCAGGTTTTGTTCCTTCCTGTGTGTATACAATTGCTACTGGTGTCCACAGGAATATTTGATACAGAGGGCAGCCTAGCATCTCCTGTAGCTGGGCTCATCTGCGTGAGATGAGCAAGAGGTCTTGGGCCACTAATGCTGCTAAACACCATTAGGTGCTTAAATTGCTACTAAATGAAAGAATCATCCTGACCACAGTGTTTCATAGCTTACTCCCTGCTGCATTTAGGGAATACCTAGAGAAGGCAGGGACACTGTTTATTTAGCAACCTTTAGGGAGGCTGCCAGGGAAGGATAAGTAATCACAGCCTTAGGATTTACCAATGAAATTTCTGTCAACGATATGCTTTTCATGAGCTCACAGAAAGAAACTCAACTTATCCCCCGAAGGAGAGGGATAAGCCCCTTTGGTGATGACTGTCTGTCCACACTGTTTAAGCTTCACTGCAGGTGAAGCTTAAACTCTTGACAATATGCCCATACATTTTAAATGGCTAAAACCAGCGTAAGTGACTACCTGCAAACTGTGAAAAGTGGTGGAGATTCTTGCATGGTATTTGTTTATTTCCACAAGTTCGGAATTTTGTTATTCTGATTTAAAAAATCCCAGTATTTCTCTTTCTGACAGTTTGTATCCTGAGGTGAAACAATGCTATCACCTATTGACTGATTTCACTGGAGCTGACTAGAAAGCTGCAAACACCTACAGAAAAGTTGTCTGACATTTGAAGCCTTTTCTAAAATAAAGGCACCCAAGGGACATGCTTATAATAGTAATGTGTGACATTCTACCATTTCCTGCACACACTGAATCTGAAGAAAACATGGTTTTAGCAGATCAGCTATGAACAAATACCACTCGTGCATTTTGAACTATAGTATGATACAGTCCCTGGCACATTTCATTTTTATGCATTTCCCATTATCTTTCAGGTAGATGCATTTTTAGCATCACTAAGGGAGAGTGCACCACTTTGCCTTCCTTCTCTTTCTTCCATGCTGCCTTGCATGTATGGGGTGCTCTCCTCTAACAGGCCAGGAAAAACCCTCCTGTGACATCTTCCAAAACTGAAGCTCCCTCCAGCTTCTCACTTGCATCCACACATTGTGTCACATCTCCACAAATCCTGATCTTGACTGGGGCCTCTTTGTGTTAATGAAATGCAAACATGGAATACAGATTCCTCTTAATAGCAGATTCCTTTTTCCTGGCCCCTCAAAGCATGATTTATATCCTCTCAGACCAGGATAAATTTATGTCTGGTCTAGGGGCAGGAAAAGGGGTCATGTTTTAAGAGTAGTCTGACACTCTTTCAGCTAGCACCAGTTCAAACAGGACTTTGCAACCAATGTTGACAAAAGGCTGGCCTACAGACTGCCATCCCCTCAGCAGTGAAGGGTCCTCTGTGTTTGATGTCAGAGGCTTGACCACCATCCTTGAGGATCTCCCCTCCCTTAGTATGGGGAGATTTGCCTTGTAGAACAGACTTTCCTTCTTTGCTTGTTTGAAAGTAGCCTGGATTATTATTGTAAAGGAGATGCCTGACACGACAGGCTGTGTCATACCGTCTCCTAGGACGTAACAATGTGGTGGGTGAACAAATTCCATCTGTACAGTTAAAGAATACTTTGAAGCCTTTGTGAGTCTCAACACACAAACAATATTAAGCTTATCACTGCTGATAACCTATCCACCCTTTAATAAAGGACACACTTCAAGCTGTGAGCCAAATGCTCTGAGGATGTTGCTGAGATCAGAAAGCTAGTGCATTAATTTGGAAGGGGAAAAGAACCAATATTGTCTGCAACATTTTTGAGAAATGAACAAACAAGAACAACCCATCATTTTGCTAACCTGCTGGCTAATGTAATGTTTTAAATTGAATAATGAAGGTAGATACTGTAACAAGTGGACTTGTAGCTGTCTGTAATTGTTTCCATAATATCACTTACTTGCTCTTTCTTTAAGTAGAAGCTCAATCGAAACCAGAGCACCGTAGAGTTTCAAAGTTAACAGTGATTTTCCAGCTGATATAAGTGAGGTTTGGACAGCAGCAATTGCTCTGAACCGATTACTAGAGATGGGAATAATTTGCAGCTCTCACAGAAATCTCACAAAGCAAGGGCTTCACATGTATTTGTGAGGAGTATCTTTACCTATGTTTTGGGCATCACATATTCAAAACTGATGTATAAATCTAGCACAGGAATTTTCTCTGCATTACTGATCTGCTGGCACCATAGTCCCTGTCTGCCCAAGCTTTGTAATGGGTTGAGGGGAGGAAAAAAGTCTACGGACAGTTAGTTCTGATATTAATTTTTCTTTGCAAAGTATGCATAGTTTTTATGGCATATGGCCAGTATTCAATGGATGCACTGTAAGCCTACTTTGCCAATTAAATTCAAGAAACACTAACTATGGGTTTGGGTTTCACTTAAAGCCACACAACGGAAGAAATGTGGTGTTTGGGAGCAGGTGTTCATCAGAGTCCATTTCATACAGTCCATAACTAGCCCAAAAATATGCCTTTCCATCCATCTCTAACAGACATGGTCCTGGAAGATGTTTAGTCAGAATGACCAGCAGTGATGAGGTAAAGCACACAGCTATAGAATATGTATCTACGCAGTTACTTCTCCACCTAGTCAAAATTCGTACCTATTTTCTTTTTTGTAATGTTTTCTTCAGCTATACAAGCACAAGAGAGAAAAGCTGTTTTGTTCTAGATCCCTATACCAAATACTTAGCTTACTGCAAGGACTAAGTTACACACATTACAGGTAAATCACAGTTTGAAAATATCATTCATGAGAGAGTATCTGAAAACACTGCATAGTTTACTTTCCCTTATCCCTTCCCTGAAGACAGAAAAACCATATTTAAAAAAGCAACTGCAGGCAGTGTGATCAAGGTCACTACTCGTAAAGCCAATATTCATGTGGCACTGAAAAGCAACGAGATCGGCTCCCATCCATGGGAATTGCCTAAAGACATTAACAAGAAGAAAAATATAAGCTATTCCATTTTACAAAAGCAGTTCTCTAAAAGGTGAATTACTGTTGTAAAACTACCTTAGGTTCATTTCATGTCAAGCAAACAAAACTTAATGTAATTCTGTTCTTACCTGGGGAATCTCTGACCCTTTTTTTCTGGTCTGAAACAGAAAAATGCATTCTTTCTCTCTCTTGCTTTCCAAAAAACCCTCTGATGTTTAGTGGCTACAGCACCAAGAATCCCAGACCCTGCACAGATGAGACAGTCCACTGACAGGAGCCCTAAGGGATCTCTTACTCAATTCAGACTAAGAAGGAAGAGCTTTGCAACCTAAACAGAACAGTATCCATGCCTCTTTGAATTGAGTTTCTGCAAAGGTGATGTAAAATCAGAGGACACACTCAAAGTCGTGCAAGGTAGCTAGTGGGATGCTTATGACTCAGTGGAGGCAAAGTGGCATCTGCAGCACAAAGGAAAGTTTGCCATTCTCACTGGAAGGCCACTTACTGGAGGTAAATATGCCACCTAATTGGACTGCAGGTGGACACCCTTCCAGTCTCCTTTTGTGACCCTGTGGCTCATGGAAAGAAAGGGACCTGCATGGAATGAAGTAGGACCGCAGGAGAGAAGGAGGTAGGGAGAGAGTGCACACAAACAAGCTTTGGGGTGACAGAGGGTCTGCTCCCAGTTGAAAGCCGATTTTGCTAAGTCATATTCTTATACTTGAAGTTCATTCATTTCTTTGAAAGCACAGTCCAGCTCCCTCTTGACTTCCTGATGTGCAGTTTAGAGATGCATGTTCCTGATCTGTAGGGTATGTTGATTTCCTGTGTAACCTTGGCTGTAGCACTTAATTCCTCTGTATCTCCATGAAACCACCAACATTTTCTTCCTGCTGAGAACTGAGTCTCTTTAGCTCACTCTGACTTCTCTGATGAATCCAAATTGCAAGGTACTTACAGTACAGAAAACTTTGGCATTTCTGTACTGCACTGAAAGAGGAAAGCTGCTGGTTCCAGTGTAACTGGTGGCAACAGAAGCTATATGGGTACTTTCAAGGAGAAGAGAAACCAAACCCTGAGAGCAATCAAATATTAGCTCTTTTCTGAGAAGACAAGAGCCCCTTTCCATTTAACCAGGTGTGTAAAAAGATTTATTTCATACAGTCATTCATACTTAATTGTTCCAGAGCTGGAACAGCATTCATGTAGCTGTGGACATACCAAAGGTTTAAAAGAACTACCAATACCAACAGATAAACAGCAGAGGGAAAAAACCTCCAAAACAACCAAGTCTCTACATGAGGCATTTGCAGTCTATTCCATGGGGCTGCTCAGAATTTTTCACATTGTTTTTGTG